CGGAACTGCTGAAACTCAAACCAATATTCAGATTGCAAGTGCTATCAACTTCTTTTATAAAGAGTCATTTTCTTATACCAGGAATAGATTGCAATTAAGAATATGGTTTCCCGTGACTGAAATGGTGCCTGTGTAGATTTCTCCCGTTCCTGGTTTCGCAACGTTGCGCAGCTACTTATTGTTTAAGGCATGGATTTCTAACTGGAAACGGCGTTTATATGATTTAGTGCCCATGTTTAATTAGATGCACAGACTTAACGGCCATTGATTTTAAAGCGAAATTTTGAAAAGATTGATATTAAGCCTCAAAAAACTAAACTACAGAACAAGATTTAGATTATGTCGAAAAAAAAAACCTTCAGATAATCAAATTAAAACAATTACAGAATTTGGAAAATGCAAGGATAGAACCAGGTCAAGATTTGAAGTTCCAAGTTAGTAAGTTGGTAACTTAGAACACATGGTAAGCTCATTAACAATAAAATCAATGCTGGCCAGATAAATCCGATAACTAAAATAAAATAACACTTGCAAAATTTATGATGCTGACAATTCGCAAAACATGATCACATGAAGAGCAGGACAGTCTTGACAAGACACAAAAAACCCCAAATCAGTTAGTCAATGATAACTTACAAAACATGATAACACGAACAACATGTAGTCTTATTAGTATTATGACAAATCATAAATATACTCAAAATTCAGTTAGCCAATTACACTTGCAAAACATGATTACACCAACAAAATGAAGTAACTATGCAACGAGTAAATTCGTGATTATCCGTTCGTACGGATAAATTTGTTTCATCTTTATACTGAACAAACATTTGTTCCATCTTTATACTGACCAAATACCGTATTTTACCAAAATTAAGCACCCCTTCGGAGCAATTTTTATAACCAAAATTCTCATTATCTAATAATCGTTTTGTTAAGTTGATTCGAATGGTACCAAAATTATATAGATCCGATTATTAAATCACGAGAATTTTGATTATAAAAATTGCTCTGGGAGGTGCTTAATTTCGATAAAATATGGGATTTGTAATACCTATAGATGTGCCATTTATATGATATCTGAATTTTTTTCGCGTACAGTACGTACAGTACGTACAGTACGTATAGTTGTATAGTGTGTATAGCATACGTAATACACATAATAAATGTACCATTTATAAATCAATTATATGCAACATTGTGCAAGGAATAATTTTTGTTAGAATGCGAAAGACAGTTTCATAATCAAAATTTTGAGATAGGGATACTTTAATGATTTGTTCTAGAATATTCTAAAAAATTTTTTGCGTACTGTACTGTACGCGGCACATCACTAGTAATACCATTCTTCAAACTTGCATGAGAAAAGTATTTAATTTACCGAAACTTGCACGGAATGTAAAAATGAAAATTTCGTTATCATTTTGAAGTTGCGGCTGTCGAAATTAAATCACTGTTATTAGTTTTTTAAAAAATGTGAGGCCTTGTCTCAATTTCTTGATTGATTTATCGTTACATAAGAATATCAATTTACAGACATATTATATAAACTATCTATGAAAACTAGAAACTTAGGCTCTGTTTGGTTAGTATTGTTTGTTGTTGCAGTTGTAGTGGTGGTATTCGTTATTGCTGTATTTATGGGTGCTAATGCTGAGTTGTTGCGTGGTATAGTTTGGCATCATTGTACCAATATTAGGGTTGTTGCCAATTTATGTTTGGTCTAAATCCTTGAAATTAGATCCCCTTACATGCATTGATTAGTAATTTTATGTAAGTATTATAATACTTCAGATGCTTGATGATACGGATTTCAGGTACAATGTATATGTGATTAGTAATCAAGCATTTTGCATTTATGATAGTTTTCCTGAATGAATCGATCTAATAGGATCGCCATTATGTGACTGTCTTATTTTATTATGATTATTTCGAATGATATGTATTATAATTGTATTAGATAATTGGTCAAGGTTGCATCAAATCAAAATAATAGTGCTGAAATTTTCAATGTATATTACCAATGGAAAAATATATATAGTAACGAAATTTAAGTGTTTTGGAATTTCTTAATAAAATTATCCCTTTAACCGTTTTGCAAGCAAATTTTTGATCTAAATTATTTTTGCTAGTACAACTTACGTAATTCATAATGTTAGACCCATATAATATTATTACCGGCCATTCTATTTGCATAAATCTTTTAACTGATATCAATTTCAACTCTTTTTAATGGCACCTTGCTTTTATTTCTCTTTGGTTCAGTCAAATTACGAGATGCTACTGGGTGTGACATTTATATAAATTTAACAGTTTCAAAATTCTGATATCTGACAAATTCTAAACGACACATGTATGATTTTATTAGATTACTGATTAAATTTTGCGAACAAATTTGCCTGCATCAGCTTACGGTTAAAGAGATAAAATTTATTTTAGATACACCTACACCCTAGCTCTAAAATCCTAAGAAATCCACTTACACTATATATAGCACTGCTTGAATGTGTACCAGGTTTGTGGCCCAGATATTTGAACTACGAATCAGATTTTATGATCAGGCGGAACGTAACATGATTAAGAAATTGCACGTCCGTAATCTGACAGGTTAAGCCACTAATTTCAATCACGTCATAAACTATTAAATTTTAAAAACTTACAAATTCAAAAGTTACGAATACTACTTCCTCTAATATATTATAATTAAGTAAAGCAAACATATATCGTTTCTTAACCGTGCTAATTAACACATTCTTAATTTTTTTTTTTTTTTTTTTTTTTTAATTCAACCTTTTTTGAATGAAGAAAACTCAAAGTGTTGAATTATCCTTTTCACCACATCATTTATTCGTGAACTCGTATTTCGAAGCACTTTTGATTGAACAGTCGCGACTAATATCATAAAGAAAAATATTA